CTGGAAGTAGCCATCAGAGGATGGGGTACATGGTGGCCTTAAAGGGATGGACATGGTCAGAAACAATGCTCAGGTTGGCCCTGGCACTAAGGGGCCAGATATATACACTGTATATATATATATATATATATATATATATATATATACAGTGGGGCCAAAAAGTATTTAGTCAGCCACTGATTGTGCAAGTTCTCCTACTTAGAATGATGAGAGAGGTCTGTAATTTTCATCGTAGGTACACTTTAACACTTTAACTGAGAGACAAAATGAAAAAAAAAAATCCAGGAAATCACATTATGGTGGAAAATAAGTATTTGGTCACCCACAAACCAGCAAGATTTCTGGCTCTCACAGACCTGTAACTTCTTCTTTAAGAAGCTCTTCTGTCCTCCACTCGTTACCTGTATTATTGGCACCTGTTTGAACCGTTATCTGTATAAAAGACACCTGTCCAGAGCCTCAAACACCAAACTCAACCATGGTCAAGAATACTGACTATGCTAAATAAATACTTTTTGGCCCCACTAAATATATATATATATATATATATATATATATATTCACAGGAAGATGAATTTAATTGCAATTCAACGAAATGCAACAGGTAATTCTGGGAAATTATGTTTACAATATAGGTAATTCTGGGAAATTATGTTTACAATATATTTTTTTAAAGTTTTAAAGATTTTGAAAACATTTTTTTGACTTTGTTAACATGCATTATGAATTACCAATGATCAGTACATTTACAGCACAGTAATCGAGGCTACTGGTCATTTTTATGCATATTAATATATTTTATAATATTATCAAGTTGTTCAAATTAACATTAATGTATGAAAAAACATGAATTAGTAATGGATAATAGAATATTTATAAAATATCGCTAAACTAGATTAATAAATAGTGTAGAAAATGTTGTTTATTGTTAGCTAATGCAATAAATACTGTTAACAAATTGACTTTATTGTAAAGTAAACATTTCTAAATTTTAAAATTAAAAAAATGTCGTGTCAAAGTTAATCTTAACAAACTTTCTTAAATTACACATATTTGAGTAAAGAATTTCAATTCATTTGAATTCTACTTCCTTAAATTCAGTTTTCAATTCTAGTTCCTGTTTGCTACTTCAATTCAACTTCAAATTCAGAATATAAAAAGCATTCTCAAGTCAATTCATTAATTGACAACATTTTTTTAAATATAATTGATAAAAACGTTAAAAGTGGTCTTTTGATAAACGACACAACTGATCATTTACCGATATTTGTAACTTACCTCTGTGAAATAAAAACAAATAAAGATAAGTCTAGTAAAGTTATTAGGTTAAGAACGGAGGAAAGATTAAATAGATTTAAGGATGCTCTTATGAAAGAACAATGGGATAATGTTTATAGTACAAATAATGTTAATAAGGCTTATGAATTATTTGTTGAAAAGTATCTATGGTTATATAACAAAAATTGTCCTATAAAAACAATGAATAATAGAGCAAGAAATAATAAAAAACCTTGGTTAACGAAGGGTATATCGAAAGCGTGTAAAAAGAAGAATAAGCTTTATCGGGATTTTGTAAAATATCGGACAGCTAATGCAGAAAAAAAATATAAAGCCTATAAAAATAAGCTAACTTCTATAATGAGACGTGCAAAGAAAGATTATTATACAAACTTGTTGATAGATAATAAAAGTAATATCAAAAGAATGTGGAAAGTCTTAAGGGAGGTCATGGGCAGTGAAGTAAATTGTTGTCAGCCATTATATTTAACGAATGAACAGAATCTGGAGATAAGTGGTGGAAAAATGGCTGATGAATTTAATTCTTTTTTTTGTAATGTCGGTCCAAATCTTGCCAAAACTATACCACTACATAATGAAAATAAAAGCTGGACAGGTGAAAGTAGAGTCATTAAATCTCTCTTTCTTGATGAAGTTGGTGAGAATGAAATTATTTCTACTGTATCTAAATTAAAAAGTAAATATTCATGTGATAGTGATGGCTTAGATATGTATATCGTCAAAGAAACTATAAGTTGTATTAGTAGACCATTAAAATATATTATAAATTTGTCTTTTAATTTAGGTTTTTTTCCAGAAAAAATGAAGGTGGCTAAAATTATTCCCTTATTTAAATCTGGTGATAAGCATAGTCTCACAAATTATAGGCCTATATCGCTGCTTTCCCAATTTTCGAAAATTATTGAGAAGCTTTTTGTTAAAAAATTTGATTGTTTTCTTGAAAAAAATTCATTGATACATGATAATCAGTTTGGGTTTCGAAGCACCCGCTCAACATCTATGGCTTTGATGAAAATCACAGAAGATATTACTACAGAATTGGAGAAAAAAAATCATACGATTGGTGTTTTTATTGATCTTAAAAAGGCCTTCGACACCCTTGATCATGGTATATTGATATCTAAATTACAGACATATGGAATTAGAGGTGTAGTATTAAATTGGATTATTAGTTATTTAGAAAATAGACAACAATATGTTGAGTATTTAGGCCATGAATCTAAGTTGGAACTTATTCAATGTGGAGTCCCTCAAGGCTCTGTGCTGGGGCCTAAGTTATTTTCTTTATATATTAATGATCTCTGTGAGGAATCAAAGATTTTACGTTTTGTTCTTTTTGCAGACGATACAAATTTTTTTGCATCAGGGAAAAACTTAAACGTATTAGTGAAAACTATTGAACAAGAATTGGTCCTACTTCAGAAATGGTTTAATAAAAATAGACTGTCATTAAATTTAAGTAAAACAAAATTTATGCTATTTACAAATCAAAAATGTTTTGACAATGTTAGTCTGAGTTTTAATGGAATAATTATTGAGAGAGTGTCAGAATTTAGGTTTTTAGGAGTACTCATTGATGAAAAACTTAAATGGAAGTCACACATAGCTTATGTAAGAAATAAAATTTGTAGAAACATTGCCGTTATGAGTAAAGTAAAGTTTATGTTAAATTGTAAGGCAATGAGAATTCTGTATTGTTCTTTTATTTTGCCATATTTAATGTATTGTTTGGAGATTTGGGGGAATTCTTATTTTACAAATTTAGCGCCCTTGTTTATTTTGCAAAAAAGGGCTTTGAGAATAATTCATGGAGTTGCTCCCAGAGAACACACTACAGGACTGTTTCTGGAGTCAGGGCTACTTAAATTGAAGGACTTGGTTTCTTTACAAACTTTGTTAGTTGTTCACAAAGCTAAACACTGCCTGTTACCGTGTGGACTGCAAACCCTTTTCACTTTAAACAGTGAGACAAGCAGAAGAAATAATGACTTCAAACAACCTTTTGCTGGCAATACCCTCAAACAAATGTGTGTTTCAGTCTCCGGTGTGAAAAGATGGAATCTTCTAGAAAATGATCTAAAATGTTGTTCAAATATCTTACAATTTAAATATAATTATAAACAAAAGATACTTAAAGTCTATAAAGAAGAATGTGAAAACTAATAGAATTATTACAATAATTATGCTTTCGTTGCTATTTTGGCTGTTGGATCTGTCATTATTTTATCCTTGTTGTTTTTTTGTTTATCTAGTATCATGTAAGCAGAATTAGTATTAATAGATAATAATAATAATATTAATTATAATAATAATAGACAAAGAGAGAAAAATGTGTTATAATTGAAGGTAGATTATATCTGGTTTGGGCTTGTCGTATGTGTATGTGCATGTGTATATATATATTTTTTCTTTTTCTTTAAGTTTTCTGTTGTTTGTCATTTTATGTTGGTGAGGTCATCTAATTTGTGAATCTTGTTTATAGGAATGGGGTAGGAGCTTATAAGATTTTTTTCTTCATCCTACTCCTGTTCTTTTCTTTGTCATGGAATGTACTTTGTGTTGGTTTGATTTGTTAAATTGTTTTTGTGGTATTTCGTGTTGCATTACCATGAAAAGAAAGAATAGAAAATAAATGAAATGAAATGAATTCTGATGACACACAACCCCGTTGCATACACAAACACATCTGTGAGATGCATTCCTTATTGAAGCACAGACGGTCTCATTATTTTTTTATTTGATTATTTGGTTAAACGCAGTCCTTTGGCAGGCTGTCTCAGCACCAGTTGGCCCATGGGCGAATAGTGAAGTTAAGAGGTGCAAACCTTAGTCAGGAGTGGTGCGGTACTGTGGCGCCCCACGATCTGCCAACAACCCAACAGTGGTGCCATCACTGACTCAGTCACTGACCCAGAGCCCCAACCTGCATAAGCAACGATTTGAGCGGTAGGACCCAGCGATGCCCATCTCAAGCTGCCCACTAGAGCAGAAGGCCCTTTGACTCACGCCCATCTGGCCTGCTCGCACGTTAGAGTACGCCAAGGTCTGTGAGCACTCTGCTAACTTCCCTACCCTTCCCAAGAGGGGACAGTCAACAAATCGGGAGTCCTAAAAGTTTTGGTGACAAACAACTTTTTTTTTTTTCTTGTCAAGACAGCATGTGGTTAACATGGCGATGACAAGTCAACATTCCACCTCCAGGTTTTCCCACATACATACACAAATACACAAACACAAAAGTTCAATGTTGCACCCTGTGTAGGAGTTAAAAAGGATGCACGTTATGGTCCTCTTCATTAATTATTTCCATCTAAAGATGTCACGAATCACATGATTTCTGATGACACTGCCATTTGAAAAGATATTTGGTAGAGGGTAAATATTCATTGCAAATATGCATTTATTCATTTGGCAATTTGCAGTCTTATCTCATGAAATCAGACTTAATAACTAAACATACATTCTCATTACATTTTGCAGCTTGTCAAGTGCCGTTATATGGACATACCCCATTAACCCATATTCATTCCAGTACCTTAAGGGTACATAATTACTTTACCTTTTAGCGCTAGATAAAGAATGTACAATTTTGCACTTTTTTCTGACAGTGTACCTCACAAACTTCTAGATAAGCATGTATAGTCAATGTTAACATTTTATTTCAGTGAAAGCTGACTTCAGTTAAAAAAAAAAAGACTGACCTGCCCGGGTTTGATTTCCAGAAACTGCAACACTTCCTTCACCATGACTGGTGTGTGTAAGGGTCTCTCGCTTTGGGTTGACATCTCTGAATTTTTTAACTGAGAATCAGGGCACTGAGGCGCTGAGCCAGTATAGGGCCTCAATGGATGCCACAACTTCCTCTTAAATCGTCTAAACATTCTGGAGCCGTGGTCAAGAATCACGTCTTTACACTGTCCCAATGTCCATTTGCAAGGTGTAACCATGAAAGGATATATAGACATTTGGGTTCTGCACAGAAAAGAGGATAAATAAGGTATGAGATATAATGAGAATAATACTGACAAGCTATGTAATCCAAGAGGTATATTTTTTTCAAACTGTTTTACTTTGCAAGTGTCATTAAAGGTTTGATTAAAAAACGGTGATGTTTTAAACTCACAATCACTTAAAATGCAAATGGTGTGAACATGCAAAAGTTATGAGATAAACTAATTTCTTATACATTTAATATTACCTATCAGTTTATAAATAAATGTCGCACTATTAACATCTATGGAGAAACTGCAGCCAATATGATAGATACAAGGACACGTGCAGGACGCCAGAGCATGGGTTTTTTTGAAGGATGTGATCAGATTTTCAGTTTCTAAAGGAAGTGCATGTATTTGTTGTCAAGTCTGTCAACATGTGATCTATTATTTACATACGTCTCCGCACATCCTACAGTATATAATATTCAAAGGTCAGTTCGTAAACATTGAACTTACTATGCAAACAGATCAAACAATACAGCAGGTTGTGAATGAATGATTCATCGCTAGTATTATACTAATAAGCAAGGTTGTTTGGTCCTTTATTCAGCGCAGTGGTTCATGAGTGCAGCTGTAACGGTTCCCGGAAGAAACAAAAAATTATTTTGTGTTCCGATCCTGCAATAGGATGAGCACAATACACTGTGAGATTCAATATTTTTTAATTTAATAACAAACAATACAATTTAATAATCAATCAGTTAAATAAAAAAGGGCTTTGGGTTTTCCTACATGGCATACATGTGATCACTTCCATATTTACATGTTTCGAAATTGTGAATATGTTAAAATATGGTACTATGGTAGTATCAATTATAAAGTTCAGTATCAGTGTATTTTTCCCCTGAAGCTTTGAAACAGCAGTGTGTTCATGATTAATCAGTCAAAGCGTCTCTATCTTCTTTTTATTCAAATAGTTTGAAACATCATCAGGGCAAAATAGATCAGCGACTTAACTGAAATCTACTATGTATGTTTTTGAAATAATATTCTTTCAATATTTCACCGTGAATAAAATGTTCATTCACTAGATCCAGTCAAAGCGTCATACGTCCCTGACGTAGGAATGCGATCATCCAATCAGATGCAGGGACGGAACAGCAGCGTGTGTTTGAAATATTCGCGCTTAATGTTTTGTATTTGCTTACTATCAGCTCAAATGTAGGTTTTAAAAGTACAAATTTATCTTAATACCACAGCCAAATCATTCGCCGTGGATTCTTATTGTATCCGATGGTAGGTTATACACATTTTATAGCGTTAACTTGATATTTTGTGATTGAAATGAAATGAATTAGTAGTTAGCTGCAGCTTTTAGCGCGACGCTAGCAGATGCTACTAACTAATGCTATGCTAACGTTACTAGTTAATCGGACGGATGATATATTTAGGCTTGTAATGAATGTAACTGTCCATGTGTTACTGTGCGATTTAAATGAATTGGCACAAAATCTGGTTTGTAGTATGTAAGTTTGGTTTCAACAAATGCCTTATTATAGTCACTAAAAACATCCTGCGTGAATTACAGTCTATGAGAGAATTTTATGGCTGATATGCAGTATGAGGCTCAACGTTAGTTTTATGTTGAGCCCCTTTCTCTTAGAGTTTATTTATAATGGTATCAAGGCACAATAAAACAACCGAATGTATGTTTCCAGCATGTCTTGACACTTAACGTTACAAGTAAATAAGTGTCATAGGATTTGTTTTGTTTTTCCCTACATAAAAAGTACTATTTGTAATTTCCTCTTTTTCTTGAATTTTATTTCCCTTACTGATAAATTCTTTGAAATCGCCCTATTTATAAATATCATTCTCTTGTGTTGTACAGATACACAAACATCAGGAAGCAGAGATTTTCAGTGCGCTGTAAAACAAGACAATGTCAGATGTGGAGGTGTGCAGCCACGTGAAAGTGGTGGTTCGTGTTCGTCCTTTAAACGACAAAGAAAAGGATGGAAATTGCAAGAAGGTTGTCCACGTTGTGGACCACCACATGCTTGTCTTTGATCCTAAAGAGGAAGAAGTGACATTTTTCCGAGGACAGCGGGTTGGCAACAGGGATGTGCGAAAGAGAGCCAATAAGGATCTCAAGTTTGTGTTTGACAGCGTGTTTGGTGAGGACTCTTCACAGCTGGAAGTTTTTGAGAGCACCACTAAAACAATAGTGGATGGTGTCCTGAATGGCTACAACTGCACTGGTGAGACATTTTAAATCTCTTTATTGAATCTGTAAGTAACTTTCTGTGCCATATACTTGGTTTCAGCAGTAAAACCATGATGTATTATGCAATTTTGGGGCGATAGACTTTGTCTTGCTAGAAGTTGATACAAAATGTGAATCCATGTCAAGTGCCTGATGCCTTTCTCACATTTTGTTACTGCTACAAAACCAAGGCCTGTGTTTTTTTCCCATTCCACTATGCTAGAAGAGGGTCTTTTTCTCAAAAGCATCATAAGCCTATTTAGATCGTAGAACTATTGACACCAATGGTCTCTACGATCAACTCAGCATGCAATATGTGTGGGAAACACACCCCTGGTAATTTATAAATGTGTAATTTTTAGATGCTGTTATGTTTTGTCACTTGTGATACTTCTCAGGAAATCGGACTGTTCAGACATTTCTTGTCATTATGGCAGTGGTATAGCTGATCAAGTTTGTTCCTTAATTTGTGTCTTTTCATTTGGCTAGTGTTTGCTTATGGAGCTACTGGATCAGGAAAAACACACACCATGTTGGGCACTAGTGATACCCCGGGAGTGATGTTTCTCACTATGAAGGAACTGTTTGCTCGTATGGACCTCATCAAGGAAGACAAAGTATTTAACATAGCTTTTTCTTATCTTGAGGTGAGGTTTCCAATTTCCACTGCATTTATTAATTCAGATTTATTATAGTTTTTTACTTCTTGAAAGCTGAATTTTAGAATTTGATGTGCCTATCACTGATATACACAAGTTGACAACCATTCAAAATTTGGGGTCATTTTTCTTTTTTTTTTTTTTTTTTTTATGATTCTGAAAGAAGTCTTATGCTCACCATCAGCAAGGCTGCATTTATTTGAACAAAAATACAGCAAAAACAATAAAAATATAGTAATATTGTTACAATTTAAAGGGGACCTATTCTATTATGCCCCTTTTTATAAGATGTAATATAAGTCTCAGGTGTCCCTAGAATATGTTAGAAATTTCAGCTCAAAATACCCCACCGATCGTTTATTATAGACCATTTTGCAAGATGTAAACACTGGTCCAGAAACACTTCCTGTTTTGTAGCTGTTTTCTTTATTTCACATGTAAAGAAAAAATCTTAAAGATGTTTGTTTAACTTTTTGATTTAGTTTTATATGTTCTGTTGTTTGTATTTTATCACAGCTTTTATGTAGTATTAAAAAACTGAAACAGGAAGTGCTTCTGGACCAGTTTTGTTTCCATCTTGCAAAATGGTCTATACCATGTTGTAAATGCCCGTTTTTGATTGGAAGGAAAAATATGCTGTTTTCATGCCTGTATCATTAAATGCAAATGAAGTACTTCTTGTGCCTCGGATGTGACATTGCAGTTCCTTGTCATCATGAAAGTTTGTTATCTGCATGCGTTTTAAAGCTGTACTATCAATTAATCTAAACTTATTAAATATGGTTTTCTGAGTACAAGAAGCTGGATGTCGGATGGCATGTCCCCTTAGTATTAAACTAAGTTCTCTTTCACCTCTTATTGCGCTTAAACTGTAAAATGCACATACGGTTATGTCTAAAACGCGCAAAGTTCACACAAACCCAAGCAATCACATGACGTCACATTGCATAGAAACTGAAAACCGCTTATTCTGAGACACTGCTTATAATTTATGGATAAAAAAAGTGAGTGGGTGGATATTGGGTGGTTGTGTATGTGCACTCTGCACTGCTTACACACATTTAAGTTCAGACAAACACGAAAGGTTTTTTTTTTAAACACCATGTAAAGGTGAATTTTGCATAATAGGTCTCCTTTAAAATAAAATTTTAATTTTAAAAAAGGTCATTTATTCCTGTGATGGCAAAGCTGAATTTTCAGCATCATTATTCCAGTCTTCAGTCTTATTGTTTTGATCATTCTGAAATTCATGAGCCAAAGTTTGACTGATTTAGTTTAATTACCTCCCATTATCTTACACGATTGCTTTCCCAAACACCAGGCATCTGAAGGCAATGTGTTTCGTTGTCTCCTCTGAGATGCAAGTCATTTATGATATTGGAAAAAAAGAGCCAAAATAGCTAAGTGTCCAAATTGAGAAAATTGAAAATACACCCAATGGAAACGTTTTTACCAGCCACTTGTGAAACTTGTTCACACCGTGAAACTGCATGTGAAAATTAATACTACAAATCACAATACTTAAGCCGTTTATTCCATAGGGTAAAGTCTCAAGTTGAAACAGCATTCTACTTTTATTTACCTGCCAGTTTACCAGCCACAACACAAAATCACCAACATGTGGCTGGTGCTAATTTCCATCCCTGAATTTCAGGTCACCTACAGATAACATGCTTATGTCTTGCGATATACTTAAACATCTTTTGTTATGATTTTTGGAATTAATTGTCACAGGAGGATTATTACTTTTTATTCGCATAACATCGTCGAATGGAAATGCCGTCGTTTTACGTAGTTTTTTCATCGACATTTAGAAAATTTTGCGCAAATCTGTAATTGAAAATGGCTAATGGCTTCCCTGATTGCAGCAATTTGTTTTATTTATTTATACATTTTTACAGATATTTTGCATTTGTATTGCAGATTTTTTTTGTGCCAATTCCCCCGCAAGTGACAAATTTATTTACTTGAACACATGGAATGGAAACGCTGTTTATTTGCAAATGTTTTAGGCAATATTCCAATTTTTGTAACAGTTTTGTTCAATTTAGTTTGATCTTGTTTAAATATAGTCTTACTGACCTCAACCTTTTGAATGGTCCCTGTGCGTGTTTTAAAGGTACACTCAGTGTTTGTTTTTTGCACTATTCAAAATATGGCCGTCAGCTACTGACACTTAGCAGCGTGGATGCAGAATCACACACAAGCAAAATATTTATTTATTTATTTATTTTCTTACAATGCTTTAAGTACCTTTATAATGAGGGGTAAAACTGAGTGCACCTTCAAGAGGAAAAAATGAGTGCACCTTACAAAAAGTGCTTTATTTTTGTTCGCTCTAATTCATTGTTCCTTGTGCAGTTTGAGTTAGTCAGCCCTTTTGTGTTCTGAGCAATAATGTTCTGCACTGTCTCTGGAACAGGTTTATAATGAACAGATTCGGGATTTGCTAACTAACTCTGGTCCATTAGCGGTGAGAGAGGATGGCTCCAACGGAGTTGTGGTCCAAGGACTCACCCTGCACCAGGTGAAGTTGGGCTGCATGTGTCATCTATGCATTTTCTGTGACCTTGATTCATGTCATCACCATAGACCACAAAGAGTTATCATTGGTTTGCTTTGTCTGATTTTGTGTGTGTGTGTGTGTGACCCTTTGTAGCCCAAATCTGCAGAGAACATCCTTGAAGCTCTTGACTATGGCAACAGAA